ATGACCCATGTTGACATCATTACAGAGATGCTTCCACGCAGCGGACAAAACTGAACCAGAGTCCTTCGGGCCTGAGCCACATACTTCCCGTTAGTAGCTTCTGGTAAAAGCAATGAAATTTTTTATAAAGAATCAATTTGGCATTTTGAACTCATGGCTGGTTGCGCTGCGAACGATCTGGGGTTTTATTACTAATAAAACTTTTCCAAGCTTTTAAATCATATAATTTTTTTAATTCATTGATCACACTTCAACAAACACACCTTTTATTCCCGTGTCGCTTTGGTCACATCTCGTATTTTCAACTTTATCCATGCTGCCATAACGTAAACCTCCCCAGCCCCATCATGTTTACAATGATTCCTTCTTGTGCACTGTCGAGATGATGATGATGCCGGTTATTCCAAATGCTAGCCTATGCTAAAGCTAAGCCCGAAGTCAGCAACCTCCTTAGGATGCCTTCTTCCCCTGCCCTTCATCCCTCTTCCCCACCCCTGCTCCTTTACCTCTTGCAAAATCTCTCTGGAATGAAGAACACTAATAGCTGGAAGAATTTGCAGGTATCCGCTGATTGATTCATTTTCGATAATACCGCCATGGGCTTTGCTATGCACCTCATCAACGGTGCGGCAGAACCTGTACCAAATGTTGTGCACGCGTAAAGGATCGGTCATTTCACATCAAATTGGCACACTGCAACACGCAAGTGGCGTCGGTTTTCGTACAGAAAGCAACCGTGCGAATGCTGCGAACTGGGCGCAGTCCCGACACCAACCCACAGAGAACTTCTAGCACACCTTATTGCTAACGCGTATTATTGCAGTTCTATTTAACTGTTTAGCGGGAATTTTCTCGCGCTGCTGCAGTTCTGCAAATAAATGCACCACTCAAAAGAGAAAGCTAATAGAAGAGTATATTATCAGTGGCCGAGAAACTACCCATGTTCTTGAATTTGGTACGTCCAAAGAAATTCACACAGATCTACAGCTCCGAATTAATTCACTTCAATGG